GATTAATATAGTATCTGGATTTTTTTCTCGTTTTCTGTTTTTAGAGGTAACAGAAAATATAAATTGTCCAGATTATTTTTGCTTTTATAAAATACAAAAGTTTGGGGGATGTATGCAAGCACTTTTTTATGCTGTCAAGGAATAGAATTCAGTTTTTGACGGGGTGATAGTTATTTTACAAGATCTCATATTCGTTATGACTTACATGTACATTATACCCCATAAAGAATCATGTACTTGACAGCTAATATAAAAATTTGCCAGTGAATGGCAATTCTCATATATAGAACAAGCAAAGTCAATATAGATTTTTCCTTTGAAATGCTATGTGTATATATTTTTCATAGAGAGGCTTTATTGTAATTTGAGTCATAAAGATATCACATCCATAAAAGAGCAAAAGAAGTATGCCAGATGTGACACCAGATCACAGAAATTTGCATTTGTGCTTGCATAAATAACAGCTTTTTAACAGCTCCCACACTACAGATGCCATGATAATGCATCATTTGCTGTGAAGCTTATCGCTGAATATAAACACAAAGTGAGATATGAAGTAGTTCTGATATATGATAACTGTGTAGTAATGATTTATGCAAATGCTAGGATGGCCATACAAACCATACAGCTACAAGGGCAAGAAATGTGCAAAGATAAATTGCTTTTTTCTCTCTTTTTTTCCAGCAAAAAGATGATTAATTGGATGGTTGTCACTAATTTCTTTCAGACAAAGTCATCATAACATAAATAATCTGGTATAGATCATCATTCCTCAAAAAAAAAAGTCATTTCATTTTATGTATAGTTCATGGAAAGTCCTTAAGTGTTTTGATAGATGTAAATGTAAGGAATGACTTTCAGTAGATGATTCATTGTCTTAACTGTTGCTGTATTTACCAAAACAGTCATACAAGACAGACTTTGACTATATCTATGTGTAACTTATTGAATGGTTGTCTTGAGTGTTGCCATCAGGGTGGTAGGTTAAAAGAAGCACTATCTTGCTGTTGTTGTGGTCATAGTGTTATTAAAGTAATCTGCACAGTGTTTTCTGTGGAAAAGTAGCTCATTTCTGTATATCTGTTAAATGTGAGGCCTCATTGGTTTGCTTTGTGTGTTCAAAATTCCTATCTGATTATAAAAGAAGAAATTACAAATACATATTTCATCTGATTTTTTTTTTCTTCTTCTTTTTAACTTTTTTTTCACTGACTTATGTGATCATTTTGATTTTTATGACCTCGAGAGTATATTTTAAAATAGTTTAATATTAGTCTTTGATAACTCCTATATATAGTTAGCTCATATTTGCTGCCCTATCAGAAATCTAGCATTTTATATGTTAGGTAGATTTATATACTGTATGAAAATACAATGAAAAAAGTACCATGACTGTATGATGTACTCTGACCAAACATTGAATTTACGGTATTTCTGAAATGGATTGAAATGGAAGGAATTATATGATGAATATTTTTGGTATATTAAAATTGTTATAACAAGTACGTATATGTTTTTAAACAGGTTGCTTTTAGATACCAAAATGTATTTTGATTCAGTTAATATTTCCATGTACTCTTAATAATCTGCTGTTTATTTTACAAACATGATTTTCATGTTTCTTTGATTTTTACTACCTATTTCAGAGAAAATTTCAGTTTGAAAAAATACCATCTTGACATTTCCTGGTATAACAAGATTTGATGAGATGCAATATTTATGGAAAATCTGTAGAACAAATATTCACACACAAAAATATAACTAGACTGGTCTACAGGAGTCTATTAGAAATAACCTTGGATTTGCATGTGTATATGAAAAGCAGAATATGTAGGAAAATATTCACAGCCTTAGAAATATTTATCCTTCAGCAGCATTTATCATGAGTAATATTGAGTAGTTGTTTCATTTTTTTACTACTTTCCATTTATGTAATAAAACACTGAACCAACAAGTATCAATTAACCAAACTTTGATACAGTGCTTATGGAACTGTTATTATTTCAGAGATTTTTCCATGTTTTTTCAGCTACCTCTTTGCACAAAAATGTCGCTCTTAATATGTTGATTTCTTTTGTATACTATGAAAAACTTTTCTATGTTTCTGATACTGTTTCTGCAAGTTTGTCCTTAGCTTTATATGGTACTATAAGATTCTATTATTTTGCACATGGATTTTGCACTATATATTGATTTGGATGTGTTTTAAAATAACATGAAGCAGTTTTTCATAGTGGTTCTTTAGCAAAGTATTGTTTACAGTAGAAGTTAACATTGTTAACATTTCTAGCCAGAATGTTAAAATATTATCTTTAAGTTAGAAAAGTCACTTGTAAAAGTGTCATTAGATTTATAATCTCATTTTAGCATCAGTAATAGATTTATCAGCCAGTAGTGTGCCATTAACCATATATATAAAACTTTAAATGCATATGGTAAATGTAGATCTCTGTAGTAGTCTTAAGTTTGCAATCTGCTTACCTCAGTTTTAGATCGGGCATGCAAACAGAAAAAATATGTGTACTGGAGACAGCAGATTCTTGCAAGCTTAACTCTACTCTCAAATGCAGCATAGCCCAGATTTTTTGGAGCACAACTATATCATTGTTTCAAGAAGATGCTCCATATGTAACATTGTTAGATACATTATTATTGGTCTCCCAGAGTGTGACACTATATAGGCACTCTTCTGCATAGAAAAGGAGGAATGCCTTCATGAACCCAAGTCTCCTGGTACTTCTGAAGACTTGGTGAGATTTCATCATGTCTCTGTCTCCTTTCTCCTGCAAATTGGACAAGTCATATAAAGTTTATATTCAGGTATTTGTATTAGTAGATTAAGATAATAAAAATCCCTCAGAGACTCTTTATACACTAAAATTACTTTGCTTCTGTTTATTCTCTGTTTTGTTTTTTCTCACTCGTTTGAAGATAGTACTATAATATATTTCATGTTTGACTATTATGAAGCAAGTAGAGCTAGTGTGATGTAGAATTTAATAATCTTAAAGTTTCCTGATATCCTGTATTATAAATATATATATACAGTATATAAGTGTAAGTATACAGAAATGTCACACTATGTTGTAAGAGCCATTATGTTTCCTAGTGGATATCCCCTTTATAATCTCTAACTCCTGAGTGTCTTTGGCCATTATTGGTGTGATCACTATAGTAAACTGATGATCTTTATTGCAAATGGAACTTAATCTTTAAGAATGAATTTCAATTTATCTAGAAACATGTATTCTAGAGATATAATTGATGAAGGCATTAGTGAACTATAAAAATGTTTAGTTGTTAGAGTTTACGTCTTTGTCTAAACCATCTCACTACCCATAAAAAAGCCTGTCTAGCAAATAGTTTGGTAATTACCAAAAGCATAGAAAGAGTATGTAGTATATGGAATGTAGTAGTACATGTGCATTTAATTATAAAATCTGGTTTTTATTAGAATATGCAGTCAAAGTAGGATCTCTGAAGCTATACTAACAAGCAAAGGAAGAGGATTCCAACCAAAGGTAGCCAAAACTACATAAAGGGGGCATCTCCTGGGAAACAAGGAGTGTGCTATACTGAGCCCTTTTCAAGGTATCCCCAAAGTGGGAACTTTATACTTATTCCAAGTGACTGTAAATACATAAAAGTAATAAAAAAAAGTATTTATATAAATACATGAAATTTGGAAGTAGGTAATTTATGTAATTATATAACTACAAGAAATACTATATCAGTTATGGGGGAACAATTGTCTATACATATTTTATTATAAATTGTAGCAAATAAATAGGGTTGGTAGCTCATGGATCTCTTTCTGAAATTTTATACACATATGGTAGATGTTAACATACTTATATGGTGATTTTTGAAGCAAATGCTAATCTATAAGTTGCTTGCTAAATCAAAATATTATGAATATTATTTGGAAACTTGCATGCCTAATTCTCTCTCTCTCTCTCTCTCTCTCTCTCTCTCTCTCTCTCTCTCTCTCTCTCTCTCTCTCTCTCTCTCTCTCTCTCTCTCTCTCTCCTCTCTCTCTCTCTCTCCTCTCTCTCTCTCTCTCTCTCCTCTCTCTCTCTCTCTCTCCTCTCTCTCTCTCTCCTCTCTCTCTCTCTCTCCTCTCTCTCTCTCTCTCTCTCTCTCTCCTCTCTCTCTCTCTCTCTCCTCTCTCTCTCTCTCCTCTCTCTCTCTCTCCTCTCTCTCTCTCTCCTCTCTCTCTCTCTCCTCTCTCTCTCTCTCTCTCTCTCTCTCCTCTCTCTCTCTCTCTCTCTCCTCTCTCTCTCTCTCTCTCTCTCCTCTCTCTCTCTCTCTCTCTCTCTCTCTCTCCTCTCTCTCTCTCTCTCCTCTCTCTCTCTCTCTCTCTCTCTCTCTCTCCTCTCTCTCTCTCTCTCTCTCCTCTCTCTCTCTCTCCTCTCTCTCTCTCTCTCTCTCTCTCCTCTCTCTCTCTCTCTCCTCTCTCTCTCTCTCTCTCTCTCTCTCTCTCCTCTCTCTCTCTCTCTCTCCTCTCTCTCTCTCTCTCCTCTCTCTCTCTCTCTCTCCATATATACAGTATATAATTTAAGTACACAGAAATGCACACTATGGTTTTTAAGAGCCATTATGTTTCCTAGTGGATATTCCCCTTTATAAATCTCTAACTCCGGAGTGTCTTTGGCCATTATGGTGTGATCACTATAGTAACTGATGATCTTTATTGCAAATGGAACTTAATCTTTAAGATGAATTTCAATTGATCTAGAAAACATGTATTATAGAGATATAATTAGATGAAGGCATTAGTGAACTAATAAAAATGTTTAGTTGTTAGAGTTTACGTCTTTGTCTAAACCATCTCACTACCCATAAAAAAGCCTGTCTAGCAAATAGTTTGGTAATTACCAAAAGCATAGAAAGAGTATGTAGTATATGGAATGTAGTAGTACATGTGCATTTAATTATAAAATCTGGTTTTTATTAGAATATGCAGTCAAAGTAGGATCTCTGAAGCTATACTAACAAGC